GCCACCGCACCTCCCACTCATGCTCACACCTCCAATGCCCCCATCCACACACTCACGCCAACCTCTTGGGGGAAGGTCAAGCAGGAAGAGGCAAGGACGGAGGGCTGGGACACAAGAGAGAGAGGGGCGGAGAGAGGAAAGAGAAGGGTGGCTTCGCGAGGGTAGGGGAGGCTAGGGCTGTGTGAAAGTTTGTCCACGCTGTGAGGTTACTTTTGAGTTGACTCAAACATGTGCGTTGGGCAACAAATGGTTGCCACAGTGCTGGTGGCGAGGTGAGGGAGCAAGTGCTGTGCGGAGGGAGAGAGAGAAACATACTAGTATGAGGAATCATTTGTCTCTCACTCATCTTCCCCTCTCCCTGCCTACATGCGCTGCACCTCACACTAACACTGCTGGGTCCGCACCGCAAGTCCTACTCCTGTTGCTCGTGCTGGACATGCTGGTTCTGTGTGCGTCAGCGAAAGCAGCGGAGGCAGTGAAGCCCCAGTGGTGCTCACCCTGGTGGTGGCAGTGGCCGTGCTCACCCTGGTGGTGGCAGTGGCCGTGCTCACCTGCCTGTCTTGCCATCCTCTCTCAGCCCTTCTGCAGCACTTCTTCCTGGGAAGGCTCAGTCCTGTCACGTGTGTCTGATTGACGGTTTCCGTGTAACATCTGTTTAACTTTCATCTGTTCCCTCTGCCGCAGCTCTCCTCTCTATCGTCTACATCCCTCTTCTCGCCTCCCTTACTTCCCACACTTCCAGGACGAGACACTGCAAGGATGGGCGTGCACCCACTGTCACCGTTCTTTCTACACCATGCCACATCTCGCAAGCCTCCCTGTGCCTGCATCGTGTCCTCCACCTGTTAGCCAACCGGGCAACCAAGTCAACCAAGTCAACCAAAGTCCTGTGTGTGTCTACTATCAGACAACAAAGCCTTTTCAGACATGGTATATGTCTACTATCCGGTACTTTGTTGTATGGATGATGTCGTAGTGCTAACCTATACGGTCACACCCTACCAACTACCTATTCATTCACTCAATTTGCACTGCCCCCTTCACACCTTTCCACCTTGTAGCTGGCTCGAGCTAGAACAGCATCCAGACTCTCAGGGATTTCAATCTCACCCTTACAGCCCCTGATGATGAGCTCTGTTAGGCTTTTAAAGCCCGCCAGGTACTCTGGCAGCGACTTCATCTGCTCACAGTAGATCAGCCGCAGCTTCCTGATGCGATGAAAGCATGCAAAGCTCTCAGGCAGGCATGAAAAGCTTGACTCGTGAATCTCCAATGTTGTCAGCTTCGGCGGGCAGGTGATTTTTCCGGTGCATTCCCTCCTGACTGCCACATTGGAGAGCCTTAGAAAGCGCAGAGAAGAGAAGGAAGAGAGGCACTCCAAGGTCCTGGAGGACGGGAGAAGCTGGTGGAGAATGAGAATTTGAAGCCTTGGCAGTGGTGGGATCGGATATCTGCTGCTTGGGTAATCCACCTGCACAAATGTCAGGTTCGGGTGCGCAGTTAGCCGATTCTCGAAACCAAACTCGGCCCTCTGAAGCATGTGCCTCAGGTTCGGCAGAGCCCCAACCTGAGCGGTGGAGTGTATGGCTTGGAAGACCCTCAGGTTTGGAAAGAGGCACTCTGAGTCCGGGACTGGTGGGCAGCGGACTTTCACCAGCTTGAGCTGTGTGATTGTAGAGGAGGCCCAGGGGGACAGGCTCTGCTCGTTATTGAAACGTCCGTGCAGAGTCAGGGATTCCAGAGCAGGAGGGAGAAAAGGTGGAGGAGTCTGGGCCTGTCCCTGACCCTGCTCCTGCTGCTGCTGTTGCCCTTGATGCTGCTGTCGTTCCCCAAACCCTCCCCTGTCTACCTCAGAAATGCACAGGTCTTTCAGGGATGTCAGATGCCACAGTCCCACTCCTGGCCTGGAGCTCAGGCTCGGAGCAGCCAGGGGCATGTGGAGCCGCGTCAGGCTCGGCAGGTGCTTGAGGGATAGGGGGGGCGCTTTCCATTGGTCCGAGGTTAGAGTCAACGAAGTCAACTGCTTCAAGCCCGCGAATCGCGGCTCGTCCAGGATCCTACTCTCCTCCTCGTTGCCCACGTTCGCCACAGCCCCCCCAGCAGCAGGAGCAGCAGCGGCAGCGTCGTTAAAGCCCATAACTCTCAACGCGGTTCGCCTCTCCAGCTGCACGCCTGCAGCTCGCCTCTCCTGCCCGCGCGCCGCTGCTCTGCTGCTGCACAAATCCGTCTCCAGTTCCTCCAGTCGTTCCAGCCCCCATATCGAGTCCGGAAGCAATCTAATAAATAAATAGTTGTGTTCAATGTCGGGTACAAAAGCCAAGCTGCCATCGAAGTTGCGCGATCCGATACGGAGGTTGAGAGTCAGCTTCCGAAGCGAATGTTCCAAGCCGGAAAACAGGTCCGGAGAGAGGCTTGGTGCCCGATCCTGCGGGTGGACCTCGGTGCTTGACCTGAGCTGGTCGTGGTAAGATATGCGAAGCTCTTGTAACACGCGCATTCGCGAAAACGGGGCAGGGGTGGCGAAAAACGAGTCGTTCGCGGAAGTCACGTGAAGTTGAAGCGAGCGGAGGTAAGGGAACGTGGAAGCGAAGGAGGTGGATGAGAATGAGGCGGAGAGGGGACGATGCAGAGGAAGGGAGAGATGGGACAGCCGCTGCCGCCGATGCTTTGGGCCTGGTAGCAATTCTAGGGGTAACTCCGCCGTTGTTCCTCTGGGTGCCGAGCCTGCCGGGCCTGGCGAATCTCCCGAGCCTGCTTCGTCTGCCGAGGCAGCGGCGGAAGCGATTGCGGTTACCATATCAGGTAATTCGTCAGGCACGGCGAATCGAAGCATGTCCGTTTGCACGTGGAACGACCGTAAGCGCGGGCAAGAATCAAGAATATTGGCGAGGCCTTCGGTAAGGATGGCGTTAAACGCGCTAATTTGGGATCGAAACCAGAAGTTTCGGGGAAATCGGATCTGGATCCGACAAGAGCGGAGCGAGCGACACGTGGCGATTGCGGATAGCGCTTCACGCAGACCAACGTCTTGGGACGAACCCTTGCCGACGAAGATTGGGATGTTGACGGACGTCAGGTTTGGAAACCGTCTAATCAAGGCGCCGATCTGCTTTCCTTCGGGAGAAACAATCGCTGAGTCGAGCTGTCGAAAGTTCTGAGACAAGATAAGATCCGATACTAGCGCCGGGGTGAACCAGGAATTCTTGCTTATGAAGCGTACGTGCTGTGGCATGCACAGTGACGGGTCGTCTAGAATCCATAGCTTCTCTATTCCCGGATGCCACCGTGAGACGAAACTGCAGTTGCTGACGTCACGGAAACAAGGCTCCCAACGCGCGGTCCGCAAGTCGTAAACAACTGAGAAGTCGCGGGTTCGACTCTCAAAGACGTCGCGCCACTCCTTGCAGACCGTGCTGGCTGCGCTCCCGTGTTCGGGTCGTTGCAGCAGTCGAAAAACATTCTCAAGAACGTCGGCTGAAAGTGTAACGGACTTCGCGGGTAAAGTCGCTAATTGGGCACGACCGCAGCTGTTCGTAGGGAATGAGTTCGGGGAGGCTGGGGAAAGGGGCCGCGGCAAATCCGTTTGCAGTGAGTCGACATATGGAGAACCTGCTGTTTTGTGCTGCTCCTGCTGCTCTTGCTGATAATAATTAATGTCTACATTCCGTGCTGCTATTTCTGCTGCTGGTAAAGCACTCTGTTCGTCGGCGGCGCCCTCAGGCGGAACTCTTCTCGTAGCCATTGCGCTGTTTGCAGGTTCCGCGCTCAGAAAGCGATGAAGACAAGGAAATGTGAAAGGCAACGACTCAAACTCCTTCCAACGGAAATGATTCAACCCGAAAGAGCAACCAACTTCCTATCACGCTGAAATCACGGGCCCGTCAAATTCGTGGGGAAAGGAAGGGGCGAATTGGAGGGACCCAATTTGGAATGGGCTTTGAACTGACGAAGTTTGTGCCATGCGGCTCGGCGAATTTGGGTTGCGTGCGATTCACGCCTGGTTACAAAGCTTGCGAAGTCTAGCATTTCTTGCTTGGTCCAGCGGCGAAGACCGGCGAGACCTTGACACTCAACCATCAAGGTTGTGGGTTTTTGCGACAGTTTCCTTGTTGATGGGCTTGTGGTATTCTGCGTACGACGCCCATCTCCCAAGCCCGCGTCTCCGTAACATTTTCGGATGGTCGAGTAACACTGTGTAGTGTAGGTCTCTTAGACCTTAGCGCTAGCTATGCTTGATGCACTGTATTTGTACGCGGTTACGACCTTATAAAAACCTTAAAACCTTAAACCTCGACGAAACTGAACTTGACCGTCTGCTTGCGACATAGTGACGAGAAGCACTAGTGCTAGCCGGATTTCGCGAACACACAAAACGTTACACCGACGCCAAAACTTCGAACCAGTTCCGAATCCTGGCAGGCACTTTCGAAAGCCACGATGGCGTAGGGAGTTCTCTGGATCAATCCTACGCAATACCTCGAAAAACCCATTCCGCAGCGACTCGACCCTTTTTTTCCGCGATGCAAAGCAAACCGAGGCAACTTTTTCGTGGCGATGGACGAGCGCGCGCGCGATGGATGTGACAGCGGAGGCGGGCGGGTTGTGGGCGCGGGACGTGCAGCGGGTAGAGGGCGGAGGGCGAGGGGGAGGGGGGGAGAGCGGGGCGCTGGGCGGCGAGGGGCGGAGAGGGAGATCGACGACGAGAGGTGAGGTGTTACGGGCGATTTGGTGATGGCGGGATGGGGCGATGGGGCGACTGGGTGATGGCGTGATGGGGCGATGGGGCGATTGGGGCTTAATTGCATGATGGCGTGATGGCGGCGTGATTGGTGTGGTTTGGCTGATCAACCGTGGAATATCGTCTGCCAGACGGCAGTGCCTTCTCGCCTTCTATCCTTCCCGTCCCTTCGCCCCCTGCGACTCGTGCGACCCCGTCGTTCTCTTCGTGTGACGTCGCCCGCTACAAACGCTCACCTCACCCATCCCCAAAACCCGACCGCATGCTTCCGCTGCGCTCTCCTCGTGATTATCACCCCCTACTTCCTCCCGCCGCGCCCTGCATGCCCTCTTCCTTTCTCCACTTCCGCTCACCCTCCCCACTCTCTCGCCTCCATCTCCTCTCCCCTTCTCCGCCCTTCCCCCTTCGCCTCCGATTTCTCCCCCCTCTCCGCGAACTCCCCCCTCGTGGCAGCGGGGCAGCGTGGGCGTGTGTGCGGCTGAGATAGCCATGATGGTTGTGCGTTTGCGTTTCGAGGCAGCAATCCTGGAAGCTCAAGCTCAGAGTGGATAAGCTCGTTTCCGCTTTGAGTTGCCTTCATCATCATGTTTCCCCCCCTCTCTCCCCACCCCCCCCCCCCCCCCCCCCCCCCTCCCCGCGCGCTCCCCGCTCTCCCCACACTCCCCCCTCGTCCCAGCGTGGCGGCGTGGGCGTGTGCGCGGCTGGGCGAGCCAAAGAGGGGGCTGATGAGAAGAGGCGAGCCGTGCTGGCAGTGCTACGCCTCCTCATCTGCATGTTTCCCCCCGTTCCCCCACCCTCCACTTGTCTCAGCGTGGCGGCGTGGGCGTGTGCGCAGCTGGGCGAGCCGAAGAGGGGGCTGGTGAGGCGAGCCGTGCACGCCCTGGGGGGAGACGCCGTCAGAGGCATGGTGGCGGAGGTGAGGGCGTGGTGGCGGAGGTGAGGGCGTGGTGGCGGAGGTGAGGGCATGGTGGCGGAGGTGAGGGCATGGTGGCGGAGGTGAGGGCATGGTGGCGGAGGTGAGGGCATGGTGGCGGAGGTGAAGGGCATGTGGGGGAGGTGAGGGCGTGAGGGTGGGGAATAGGGTTGGGAAATGGGGCGTAATGAAAATGGTGAATGGGAATCTGGGGATGGGGGCAGGGTATGGGTTTGGGGATGGTGTTGTGAGGCAAGGGGGATGTGCTGGGAGGTGCAGATGGGTGCAAGGGGGTTGGGGGAAGGGGAGGCATCTTGCAGGAGGGTTTAACGTAGGAGGGAGGGGGTTGAAGATTCGAAGGATGGTGGATGGGGAATTGGGATAAACGTATGAGGGAGTAGTGATAGTGATGGGGGAGAAGGGCTAAGGTCCAGGGTGTAGGGTCTATGGTTTAAGGTCCAAGAGGAATCCCTCTCTGGCACTTTGGTTCCCTGCCTCCTTGTCTCTCATCTCATCCTCCTTATTCCCCCTTCGCCTTGTCCCCTCAAATCTCTCGTCTCCAGTTCCCCTCTCTGCTCTCTTATGTGGTTCTCATGGTCCCGTTCCTCATGGTCCCGTTCCTCATGGTCCCGTTCCTCATGGTCCCGTTCCTCATGGTCCCGTTCCTCATGGTCCCGTTCCTCATGGTCCCGTTCCTCATGGTCCCGTTCCTCATGGTCCCGTTCCTCATGGTCCCGTTCCTCATGGTCCCGTTCCTCATGGTCCCGTTCCTCCCACCCTTTCATGCTTTTGTTCGCCCAACCCCTCCCCGACTCCCTTTCCCTACACCAGGTACAACCGGTGCGTTTTTTGTCGACTTATAAGTCTGCCTCCCTTGTCCCATCATCTTTCCCCCCATCCCCTCCCCACCCCCCTTCGAGGTGGCCACGGGATATGAGGCGAGTATGGAGGCACCTGAACAATCAACACAGCCCTTCCCGCCCCCATCTCCCCCCTCCCCCTCCCTCTCCCGTCCCCCCCTCCTCCTCCCCCTACCCCTCTCGCTCACTCTCCCCCTTCTCCATACTCCCCTCCCCTTTTTTGCTAGGTGGACGTGGTGCAGCGCTGTGGAGGGCAGCCCACATGGACGCAATGCATGGTCAACTCACCATTGCTCGCTTCCCCCTCCACTTTCTCCCACCCCCTCCTCTCCCCTTGACGCCTGATTGACGTGGTTCATGTTTGAGTTGACTCACTACTGGCCGCCCGCACCCCCTCCTTTCCCCCCCCTCCCCCATTCCGCCCCTTTACACCAGGTGGACACAGTGCAGCACTGTGGAGGGCAGCTGACGTGAGATGAAATGAGACGAGTATTGCGGCCTCCCCTATTCCACCCCCCTCCCCCCATCCCCCCTCCTCCCCTTTCCCCCCTCAGCAGGTGAAGACGCTGTGGAGGCCAGCTCACGTGAGGTGAGACGAGTGTTGAGGCCTCTCCTTTCCTCACCTCTCCTCCCCTTTCCTCCTCCTCAATCCCCTTTCTCCCCTCACCGTTGTGCCAGGTGGACGCGGTGCAGCGCTGTGGAGGCCAGCTCACGGCGGACGGCAAGAGGCGCCGCACTCCGGGCGGCGTGTTTTGGAACATTCTGAGGGCGCGAGTCAGCGCTGACGTGTACAACGAAATCATGGCCGAGGAGAGAGAGTTGCAGGTAGGCGGGGCAGAGCAGAGGGAGAGACATGTTGGTAGGCGGTTCAGAGCAGTGGTACAAGGCAGAAAGATGTGCATTTGAAGCAGCAGCAGGAGGGAGACACGGAGAAGGCGACGAGCCTTTTTTTCTGCCATGTTGCCCTTTCTATCCAGTGCTCCTTGTGTCCATCCTTCCTCCTCTGTGCTCCAGCGTTCCTCCCCACAGCTCTTAAATGTCTGCAGTGCCGTGCCATCCCATTCCTGTGCGTGTGCAGAAGCGAAGAGAGCGAGGCCAGGCAAGCAAGAAGAGGAGGAGGCAGCACAAGGGAGGAGAGGGCGCTGGTGGGTCAGATCGTGGAGGCACCGTTACTTCTGGCGGTGGTGACAGGGAGCGCACAGGAGCCATGAGCCTCTCGCTTGAGGGCTGCACTCGTGATGCCGCCCGGCCGCATGCTTCTGACGATGCTGCTGCTGCTGCTGACGTGGCACAGGGTCCTGGGGCCAGGTGGCAAGTTAGCAGTAGTGTGTGTGTTCAAGGGGATGACAGACAGCGCTTGGAGCATGGTGTGACGGCGGGGGGAGGGGGCATGGTGGAAGATAGGGGGGTAGAAGGTAGGGGCGTGGGAGAGCAGGTGCAGTGTGGTGAGGGGAGGGCTGCAGGCCCTGTGGAGGGGAGAGAAGAGGAAGGGGTAGAGGACGGGGGTAGAGGAACGAGGGATGGGGGGGGAAGGGGGGACGAAAAAGAGGTTGTTGTGGGCGTTGTGGAAGGAGGGGTGGACGGGAAGGAGAGGATAAGAGAGCGGGCATGTGGCGGAGGGAGGCAGCGGGGTGGGCTAGGAGAGGGGAGCAGTAGGGCGAGAGGCTGTGGGAGTGAGGAGGGGTTGGTGCAGGAGCCTTGGGAAGTGCATGAGATGAAGAAAGTGCGTGTGAGTATGGAGCAGAAGGGGGGGCGTGTGGGTGTGGGTGTGGGGACGGATGTTGAGGAGAAGGTTCGGCTGGATGAGGGAGAGCGGGGCGGCAGTGTGAGGCAGGTGCTGCATGCATGGCGGAGTGCTGTCATGGCTGGTAAGGGCGCTGGGTGGGAAGAAGCCGAGGAGGGCGAGTGGAGTGAAGCTGATTGTGCCACTGCTAGTTTGGCCATGCCAGCTGGCTTGGGTGTTGAAGAAGCTGGGTTGAATACTGATGGAGAAGCTGGGTTGAAGGCTGGTGACGTGGCCAATGTTGTGGGTGACATGGCTAATGGTGTGAGTGACGCTAATGGTGGGGGTGACCTGGCTAATGGTGTGGCTGACGTGGCAGCCAATGGTGTGGGCGACATTCACGAGAGGGAAGGCAGGGAGGATCCGATGGAGGTCGATGGTGAGTGCGAGGAGGCCGTGTGTGAGACAGTGCCGCCTTGTGTGGAGGAGCAGCGTGAGATTGATCAGCGCAAGGTTGTTTTGCAAGGAGAAGGGGCACATGCAGGTGCGAGCAGCAGTGTGGACGGTGGCGCCTCTGAGATTGCATCGCTGTCATGCAAGGGCGTGGAGAGAGGTGGCACATGTGGGGCGGCAGCACTGCCAGGCGTGCGCACGGCACAGGGGGGAGAGCAGAGAGTGTCTGTGAAGCAGCGGCTGCGCATGCCAGTCAAGTATGATGATGTGCCCGGCACAGTAGAGGAGGTTGTGGAAGGGTCTGTCATGTGAACAATAATTGGCATATCGTATTGAAGGCTTACAATGTCCAAAGATAGAGCTTCATCTGTAGACTGGTGAATAAACAGACCTCCAATTTGCAATAGCCAATCAGGCTCCTAAAAACAGATGCACAGGGCATCAAAAATATTTTATCCTTTGACATGCCTTGAGGTTAGGTTGGGGAAGAAGAGCAACGAGTGCACCACACTAGTACCCTTCAACTTGTTTCCACTTGTGAATGCTTGCTAGGCACCATGATTCATTTCATACGGGAATGAGTACATTGCGACACACGGTTCTCAGCCAAGCATCCCACAACCTATAACCTTCAGTCTGACTCGCAAGTGAGTCCCAACCCAAAGCCTCCAAGCAAGCAAATTGTTCAACAGAGAGACACGCACTCGAATCAGTGGCCTCATAGTACCAGTAAGTGCTACATGTCAGCAACGGACCACATGAAGGCCTCCTGCTCCCGCGCCTGCATCTCGTTCTTCTGCTTGAACATCTCCCGCTCAAACCCTGGCAGTAATGTGCGCACACAAGGCCACGGGGGTGGGAAGGATAAAGCAAAATCTGAACATCCTCCATGCAAGGTGGTGACTCTTGAGTGGACTCAAAAGACAGCAATGGTGGAAGGCACGCCGAGCTGAACAATGCATGAAACATTTCATGCTCGAACGAAAAGGAGATGGACAAACTGCGTCAAGTCATTGACTCAGACCCCAATTTTCTGTGATACGGTAGATGCAATGCTTGTGTGTTGTGGTCAGGGTGCAGATTTACTGACATGCATGTTGACTGTAGTCATGATTTAGATGCGAAAAAAATCCCCCAAACAAGGAACGTTAGGGGAACTGAGCCAAGAAAGCCAGGAACACAAGTTGAAGGAAAGAAAACAAAGGGCACATGCAGAGGACGAGGGAAGGAAAAGAACGTGAACGACTCACTGTTGCTGCGATCAACGCCGTCCCAGTGGTAGCCAGGGCGAATGCCGTAGCGGTTGTGGTAAGGAATCATATGGAGAGGACGAGGTAAGGAGAAGGAACAGTACCACTCACCATTGCTGCGATCAACACCATCCCAGTGGCGGCCGGGGCGGATGCCGTAGCGGTTGTGCGGGGCGGACACGCGGCGCTTGAGCCAGCTGTGAGGGGGAATGGCCTGTGGCACGGTGAAGCCCGACGCCTGCATGGCTGGGTCTCGACTGAGGTCCTCCAAAAGAGCGTCTGCCGAGATGTTGCTCTGCATGTGTATGAAGGTGAGGTGGGGGAGAAGAGGGGGGAGAGGATAAGCTCTAAGGGGATGGCCTGGTGTGTTTTGAGTCGACTCAAAACACAGAGGGGGGAGAGGATAAGCTCTAAGGGGATGGCCTGGTGTGTTTTGAGTCGACTCAAAACACAGAGGGGGGAGAGGATAAGCTCTAAGGGGATGGCCTGGTGTGTTTTGAGTCGACTCAAAACACAGAGGGGGGAGAGGATAAGCTCTAAGGGGATGGCCTGGTGTGTTTTGAGTCGACTCAAAACACAGAGGGGGGAGAGGATAAGCTCTAAGGGGATGGCCTGGTGTGTTTTGAGTCGACTCAAAACACAGAGGGGGGAGAGGATAAGCTCTAAGGGGATGGCCTGGTGTGTTTTGAGTCGACTCAAAACACAGAGGGGGGAGAGGATAAGCTCTAAGGGGATGGCCTGGTGTGTTTTGAGTCGACTCAAAACACAGAGGGGGGAGAGGATAAGCTCTAAGGGGATGGCCTGGTGTGTTTTGAGTCGACTCAAAACACAGAGGGGGGAGAGGATAAGCTCTAAGGGGATGGCCTGGTGTGTTTTGAGTCGACTCAAAACACAGAGGGGGGAGAGGATAAGCTCTAAGGGGATGGCCTGGTGTGTTTTGAGTCGACTCAAAACACAGAGGGGGGAGAGGATAAGCTCTAAGGGGATGGCCTGCGGCACCGTGAAGCCTGAGGCCTGCATGGCTGGGTCACAACTGAGATCTTCTAGAAGGGCGTCCGCTGATATGTTGCTCTGCGTGTGCATGCAGGTGCGGGAGAGGAGGGGTGGGAGGAGTTGGGAAGGATATCAAGATAAAGGACACGGCCTGTGACACGGTGAAGCCTGAGGCCTGCATGGCTGGGTCGCGACTGAGGTCCTCCAGCAGGGCCTCTGCTGATATGTTGCTCTGCTTGTAAGCAGGTGCACGGGGAGGGGTGAGGGGGGGAGGGGAGGGGGGAGAGGATAAGGGCTAACGAAATGGCCTGCGGCACGGTGAAGCCTGATGCCAGCATGGGGGTCTCGACTGAGGTCCTCCAGCAGGGTGCGTGCTGATATGTTGCCCTGTGTGTATGCAGGTGCGAGGGGGGAAGGAGGATACGGTGTAAGTGGGCGGCCTATGGTAAAGAGAATCCTCGCCCTGCATGTGAGGTGTTGCAAGAGAGTATCTGCTGATAGGTTGCTCTGTGTGAGGCAGGGAGAAAGGGAATGGCGTGTTACGGTTTTGTGCATCACGGCGGGTGCGCGATGAAGTTCCAAGTTTCCCACCCAGCCGAAGTAGGGACAGGTGCTCCAAGTCCCTCCAACACAGCTGCCTTGGGTACCCACCCCACCTCACCTTCACCAGATGCGCATACAATCGCCAAAGCAACTCTCGACACAAAAGGCCCCCCACCCCGCCCCACCTTACCTCACCTTGACAGGATGCGAAAGTGACTCAAAAGTCCCCACGCCCCACCCCACCCCACCGCACCCCACCCCAGCCCCCCCTCACAGCTCACCTTGACGAGATGTGCCATGGGGTCGCCAAAGCGCACTGCATTCTTGAGCATGCGATCTCGCTCCTCGTCATTCCTGCAGGGCGTCACAGGGACACGAGGACAAGGGGACAAGGGGACAAGGGGACAAGGGGACAAGGGGACAAGGGGACACGGGGACAAGGGGACAAGGGGACACGGGGACAAGGGGACACGGGGACAAGGGGACACGGGGACAAGGGGACAAGGGGACAAGGGGACACGGGGACAAGGGGACACGGGGACAAGGGGACAAGGGGACACGGGGACACGGGGACACGGGGACAAGGGGACACGGGGACACGGGGACACGGGGACACGGGGACAAGGGGACAAGGGGACACGGGGACACGGGGACACGGGGACACGGGGACACGGGGACAAGGGGACAAGGGGACACGGGGACACGGGGACACGGGGACAAGGGGACAAGGGGACACGGGGACACGGGGACACGGGGACACGGGGATAAGGGGACAAGGGGACACGGGGACACGGGGACACGGGGACACGGGGACCATGGAGTGGCGGGAGGTGGGAGGGAAGTGCGGATTAAGGTGCGGCACATGACGAGATGCCTCTTGGCGATGTGCTCACAGTAACAGATCGGGAGGAGAGCAGACGGGAAGAGCAGCGAGGAGCTGTGAGGGGGACACAAGGTTATTTTGCACAAGGAAAGGCAACGCAAGAGTACGGGGTCATGCACGTGATATTCAGCTGGTAACGCTTGCTAAGTGGGTATGAAGGGTCTGGGAGGCGCCTATGAGTATATAGTGTGACCATGTTGTGACAGGCCACCCTCCCCCACAGGCAGCGAACGCGCGTGCAGCCAGAGCATTCATGCCTGCCTGCCAGCTGCCTTTCCTGTCTCACCAGCTCACTAGTGAGCACAGTAACGAGTGTAGCCTGTACAATATAAAGTGTACTCACTCGTAGGCAGCGAACGGGCAGGCAGCCACGGCATCCAGGTCAGCCTGCTGCCTCTCCGCCTGCCTCTTCTGCACCAGACCCTTGCCCCACTCGGGTGGCGGCAGCACCTGCAAGCGTAGCACGGATTGTAAGGGCAACATACAAACGCACATGAAAGAGCATGATGAGCATGATACAGAGAACTCTGTACTGTCTAAATATTGGACCCTCACGCCTAGCAATGATAATGTGTCCTCCCTCCCTCCCTCCTTCCCGGTTCATTCCTTCCTCCCGCCCGCTCATTGATCTCTGCTCCAGCCCCCCCTCCCCCATCCCCTCCCCCCAACACCCCCCTGTGACTCACGCGGCTCTTCTTGGCCTTCTCCTCCGCCATGATGGCCTCCAGATTGCTCACTCGCTTGCCTGCCACACACACAATCACCCATGCATGCACACACACACCCAGTCATGCACACACACACACAAGCGCACATGCATGCACACCCGCACATCAGCCCATCAGCCCATCAGCCCAACGGCACACGCACACCAGATGCACACACGCAAGCACACACGTCGAGAAGACACATAAGGCAGAGAAATTTCTACGGCGCAGTATAAGGAGGGCGCAACCGGAACATCATGGAAGGTAGAATTTCGAATCTCACATGGAGCAGGTGAGTACTCGAGAACGTTATTAAGCCGCACGCACCCACTGGCGTCTGTGTCACACGGACGTGTAAACTCATGTCGCTCCATTCGAGTCAACATCGCTCATACTCCATCCTGCCTTCATTTTTCCCAGTACAGTCGTCTTTTACCAACCTCATCTCCTTCCCCAGCAGCTCCCCACCCCACTGTCTCCGCTCTTAGACACTCACACGGTTCTTTTTTCCTTTCCCCTCCCCCTTCCTCTTAACCCCCCCACTCGCCCTCCAATCCAACTGCTTTGTCGTGGTACACAGTCTGCGTTCCACCCCCAGCCTTGACTCCTTCTACACATACACACTTCTTCCTCCCCCCATCCCCCCTCCTTCCCGAACACACTGAACCTCTCTCCCCCGTCCCCCCTCTCCACCCTGCTTTGTCGCGGTACACTGTCTGAACCCCGCGGACTCAAAACACACCCCCACCCACCCTACCCCCTCCTCCCCCTCTTCCCCTCCCCCGCCCACCTGCTCTCCTCCCCCAACCCCCACCTGCTTTGTCGCGGTACACAGTCTGCGCCCCCCGACCACTGATGGACGGATCCAGCTGGGCGAACCTGTGAGGCAGAAAGGCAGAGAGGGCGAGAGGAGGAGAGGGGAGGAGAGGGGAGGAGAGGGGAGGAGAGGGGAGGAGAGGGGAGGAGAGGGGAGGAGAGGGGAGGAGAGGGGAGGAGAGGGGAGGAGAGGGGAGGAGAGGGGAGGAGAGGGGAGGAGTGAAATCAGGTGATGATCAGATGATAATGCTCCCTGCACATCTCATGCAATTCTCCCGGCACACCTCACTTCTCTCACACAAGCGCCTCTTGAGCCAGATCTTTCTCTCCTGTCCTGCGGCCTACCTCACCTGCAACAACAGTCGCATTAGGAACTTGCCCACAGTCACCCTACACATCTATCTCTCATTCCTTCTCACCTGCCCTCCCCTTCCCTCACCTGTCCTCCTCACCTGCCCTCCCCTTCCCTCACCTGTCCTCCTCACCTGCCCTCCCCTTCCCTCACCTGCCCTTCCCTCACCTGCCCCACCCTTCCCTCTTTCCCCCCTCTTCCCCACCTAAGTCTCACCTCGCCTCGTCCTTAAGTCGTTTCTCCTCAGAGTCGGCCATAACCTCCATGCCGCTCCTCAGCCCTGTCCGTATGACCAACCCTTCCCCCAATCCCCACAATTCTCACCTGGCCTCGTCCTTTGCCCTCTTCTCCTCAGCCTCAGCCATCACCTCCTTGCCGCTCCTCAGCCCCGCCAGGCTCCCATCCATCATCCTCTCCGCCTTCCCCCCTCCCCCCTTCCACATGCTCCCCCCACCCTGCGTTCCTGCCTGTTTCCCCGACCCCTTTCGTGGCGGAGACAGGTCCGGTGAGTCTTGTCTGGCTCGGCGTCGAGGGGGAGAGAGGTCCGGGGTGGCCTGCCTGGCTTGGCGTCGGGGTGGAGACAGGCCCGGGGACACTTGTCTGGTTCGGCGACGAGGCGGGGACAGGTCCGGTGAGCCCTTTCTGGTTTGGCGCCGGGGCGGGGAGAGGTCCGGGGACGGGCCCTTCCTGTTCTTGCGGGGTGGGGACAGGTCCGGCGAGTCGTGCCTGGCTCGGCGAGGAGGAGACAGGTCTGGTGAATCGTTTCTGGTTCGGCGCGGGGGAGACAGGTCCGGTGAGCCCTTTCTGCCCCTTCGAGGAGGCGACAGGTCTGGCGAAACGTCTTTGGCTCGGCAAGGAGGCGACAGGTCCGGCAAGTCATGCCTGGCTCGGCGAGGAGGGGAAAGATTGGAAGATTGGGCCTTTCTCTTCCGAGGAGGGGACAGGTCCGGTGAGCCCCTTGTGGCCCTTCGAGGGGGAGACAGGTCAGGTGAATCCCCTCTCGTCCCTCCACCACCATCTCTTACCACCCTTCCTCTATTCCCTTCTCTGCCCCACCTCTCTCTCTCCTCTCTCTCATCTCTCCCCTCTCCCCCGTCTCTCCTGTCGCCCCCCTCGTCCCCGTCAGGGCTGTCATGCCGTCCTCTCCTGCCTCGACGGGGGGGAGACAGGTCCAGAGAGTCTTCTCCGGTTCGGCGCCGAGGAGGCGACAGGTCCGGGGAGTAGTGTCTGGCTCGGCGAGGGGGAGAGAGGTCCGGGCTGTCATGCCTTCCCCTCCTGCCGCCCTCAACCGACCCCCCAACACCCCCTGCCTCTCCTTCCCCATCTCCTCTCCCCCCTCCCCGTGCCTGTGTCCGATCCACAGTAACCCATCCGCTCCCATCCTCCCGAACTTCCAGCTCTCGCTTCCGAGCCTCCTCTAGGCGTCGCTGTCGCCGAACCTCCACGTCCTCCTCCACCTGGGGAGCATCCGTTACCGGCTGCACGCAGGTTCGGAAGGACAGACTGGGGGGATGGATTTGGCGATGCAAGTTAGAATAGGGTTGGTAGGTAGGTTGGAAAAAGAAGGTACGAAAGTAAACCTGGAAATTCGGTTTGAGGATACATTTAATGGAAGCTTCAACCGAGCTGAACCGAGATCAAACTATCTCCATCATATTTGTCCTGCTGCGGGCGGGAGGAACAAGTCCTGCTACCGGGAGGGCTTGTGCTGCTGCCTAGACGCGACGCCCACCACCGTGCTCGCGAGTTGATCTCTAATCGTCGCTGTCTCGATCGAACGGCGCACTAACCTCATCTTCTTCCTCATCGGCCTCTTCGCCAATCGGCTTCTGCCACGTGGCGTCAGCGTCCACCAGAACGAGCCCTCCCGCGTTCTTCGCGGGTGCGGCGCCCTTCTTTTTCTTTTTCTTCTTCTTCTTCTCCTCGCCCCCCGCTGGCCCATCCGACGTGTACCGCTTCAAGTACTCCGCTAAAGACGACATCGATATATGTAACAAGAAGATCGCGCTGGATTATTTACGCGTGAGACTGGTCCCGCGAAGAACGGAAGGAGGATAGCAAAAAACAGCTTTTATGTGATCCTTGGAACGAGGCTGAAGAAACGGATAAGTAGAAACGCGTTTCGAACGGAAGCAAGGGTATTCAAGAGAGAATTACTGTAGAACCTAGATCCTTGATTCATCCTTACTCGCATGGCCTCGAATTACTCAAGTGGCCACCAGATTTGGTGATAATTACTCGAGTGGCCACGCCAGGGGATTCCCGCTGGCTTTTTTTTTTTTTTTTTTCCCGGCGCATTACCCTACAAGGGCTCGTATCCCTGAAACCGCTGTATTGATAATTCCGCGATTTTCAATTTACGCGATGATTTAAAACCGGAGTCCCAAACAGCCCCAAAGTGCCTCAACCTTCCTAACTTTGAGAAGGGGTGACGCAGTAGGTACGACTCACTTCGCAAATCGGGGGGACAATTTTCGTCACGCGAAACTACTGTTCTAGCGAGGACGAAAGCAGTGACAATTTCGCCAACAAATTTGAAGCCCGTCCGAAACTGTCTGCGAACCAGTTCTGATGTTGCATTCCAGATCTGGTTATTTTCGCGAAATTTTCCTCCTTTACGACCCCAGACCACAAATTTCGACCCCACCCTGGCTCGCGAGCCAGTCACCTTTCTCTCCCCTTTCAACCTTCCTAACTTAGAAACTCTTGGACCTCCGGTTTTAAAAAGGATGCTTTCGCGTGATGATATATATTCGAAATTTATGTTCGTGACTCTATATGATCGCGCCTGATTCAACGCGCATATAGTCGACCAATCATGTGCGGTCATTAATGGTCTGGCACATCATATATTAATGCCCGATCATATATTTCCGCGATCATAAACTGCAATGCCCGGGCGTCAATGCGCGGGACAATTAATGACCGTGCATGATTGGTCGATTATATGCGCGGTGCTTTGTTTTGCAATGCGCGTCCAATCAGGCGCGGTCATATGGGGTCACGATCATAAATTTCGGATATTGAAGATCGCGCATTAATCAGTACAGAGGTTTCGGGGTTACAAACCCTTGTAGGGTAATGCGCCGGGTAAAAAAAACCAGCAAGAATCCCCTGGCGTGGCCACTCGAGTCATTATCACTAAATTTGGTGGCTGCTCGAGTAATTCAAGACCACGCGAGTAAGAATGAACCACTATTCCAGGTTCTACAGTAATTCTCTCGTTATTCAATCCAGTTCCAACTCATAGAGGGGACGTGACGCATTTACCCTTGTTGCGAAATCCGAAGGCGAGCAGAATATTTCGCAGAAATCTCGTAATGCATCGGAGACAAGTGTTTGCGAGACTGTGGTCGCAGCCCCTTCGCAATTATGGTTACTCGCTGCTTGTCAACGAACCAAACTAAATTTCTCGATCAAGCAAAAACGCAAATGCCCCGACATCCCGTCCCGAAGCAACCCTAATTTCAACAATTAAGCAACAGGTCTAGCGCGATTCACGCAGGGAACAAAAAAACGGGGTCTTTAGGGTATACTAGACGCGCTGCCTCCACCACTTTGTTAGCGGCATTTAGCTTCTTATTAATTTGTAAATACTTTCCTCAGGCGAAGGGACTACCAGACGGTAGGCGCCATGGCGGAGGAAGTTATTCTTACAGCGAACGACCTTATGACGGGGCCGCCATCGCCAGTGATTCCGCGAGACCTCGCGCCGCGAGTGATGGAGGGCGTCGAGACGTGCAGCGACCGATTGAGAGCTCTCTTTGAATGTGAGCCGTTGGATGCGATCAGCACGGGGCTAGGTTGAATACGAGGCGTTGGATGGGAGCTGATGGCAGAGAACGTATGCGCGTGGATGCGCGAGGGCGTCGATACGTGCAGAGACCGAGTACCAGAGCGCTGCGTGTGTGCGCCGTTCAATGCAGTCGGTGGTTGCGCGTGCTGCGTGTGTGTGCGGATCGAGTTTATTGAACTGGTGACGTGGCCGCGAGTGAGTGCGTGAGACGAGGCGATGGACGGGACAAATCAAGGGTTCTGACTTTCAAGTGCGAACCTCCGATTCCTTCCGTTGCACTTCCCGCCCCCCCCTTCCTGCACTTTCTCCCCCTCTCCGACACGATTTCCGCCAACCTCTCTCCCAGTCTCTCTGCGCTCCCCCCTGTCCGCAATCCCCCCGTCCGCCCTTCCCCTCATCCGCGCGCCGCAGGCTTGCATGCGAACGAGGTGGAGCCGTTCTGCCAGGATGCCATCCTCACACTGCGGCGCTGCACGGCGCACAGGGTATGTGGAGCTGTGCAGAGGGGCACAGTGCGGTGAAGTGGTGCACAGTGTGGTGGAGAGGTACGGGTGAGAGGAAGGGAGAAAAGGGCGGGTCGTTCTGCTGGGATGCCATCATCACATTGCGACGCTGCATGGCGCACAGGGTGGGAGGAGTGGTGCAGAGGGGCACAGTACGGTGGAGAGGTATGGGTGGTAGGTAGGCGCACAGGGTAGGTGGGTCGGCGAGGGGGCGCACACCGTATGGGTTAGCGAAAGCGAGGGAAGGCGCAGCCGTTGTGCCTTGGTGGCACAACGTGTGGGTGGTAGGGAGGGAAGGCCAGGCCAGGTAGTCATTCCCGCCCTCTTCCTGCTGCCCCGCTGCCAATTCACGCCTCATCGTTCATTCCACGGTCCACCCCGCTTTGCTGGAGGCCTTTTATGAGAATATAAAACGGAAAAGGCGGGTTCATAAAGCAGCTGTTAGTGCACGCGCTCTTAACCTCAGCGCACGCACGCAGCCCTCACCTTATCCCGATTTGTCAACCTCCCTCCCATTCTCGCCCCTCCTTCCGCGTGCAGGTCGAGGTGCTGTGGGCGCGTCTGTTGCTGCAGGCAGAGGGGGAGGCAGCCAGCTATTTCTGCATGTGCTCCCTTTCTCTCCCCTGTTCGCGACTTTTGAGGCGCCTCAAAAGTGTTTTTCTCCCCTCCTCTCGCGTGCAGGATGAGGTGCTGCGAGCGCGGCTGCTGCAGGCAGAGCAGGCGACTACCAACGATTGCTGCCTGTGCGTCCCATGCTCGCTCCCCAGTCCACCCTTTCCATTGACTCTCGCAACGCTCCTCTCTCCTCCTCGCCCCTCCTCTCGCGTGCAGGATGAGGTACTGCGGGCGCGTGTGCTGCAGGCAGAGGGGGAAGCGGCTGCCGGCCGGTCAGCAGAGGGCAACGAGGAGCGAGTGGGGGCGATGAAAGGACAGGCGGAACAGATGGAGAGGTAGGAAGGGAGGGCTTCTGTGCTGTGTGTGAGCCAGACAGGGGGAGGCAGTGAGCCAGACAGGGGGAGGCAGTGAGCCAGACAGGGGGAGGCAGTGAGCCAGACAGGGGGAGGCAGTGAGCTGTTAGGTTGCTGAGGTGCTGCCTGCTGTGAAGCTGAGGGGAATGAGGATTGAGTGGGGGCAATGAAAGGGCAGGCGGAGCAACTGGAGAGGTAGGGGGGGCGTCTGTGGTGTGTGTGAGTCAGACGAAGTGGACTTTTGAGTCGAGTCAAGAATCAGCTGGAGAGGAAGGGAGGGAATGTGGTGTTGTGTGTGGGAGAGAAAGAAGGATATAAGGCCGCATTCTCAAGTTTGCCCACCATCAGAAGTCTGCCCACGCGGCTCGATATGCTGGTTTTGGAATTAATTCACATTTCAATGTTTGCCCACGCGGTCCGACTTCAGTTCAACCGGCCACGGTCGCATTTCTCTGCCTGCACGTCAATGTGCGACTTCATCTATTGGTGGTTTGGAGGGTTGTGCTTTCGGAGAGTCTGGTTATGTGCTACTTGCTGTTGGAAAATTTTGACTTGCGCGACCTTGAGGCATGGCCGACCCTGAAGGCATCCAGATACGAAGGGGTCTGCACGGAATAAAGTGTATCTCTCCCCACATCCTGTAGTCACATGCTTCATTCACACGCACGCATCCCCTGCATCTCCTGCTTTCTACACTCACAGACGGCTCATTCTGGCCAATGCCACGCCGAGACCGAAGGGCTTTCAGACGCTGAAGGCTGCACGCCATCAAGTGCTTCCTGTACTCCCGCCCTGTATTCCCAGCCCACACCTCCTTGTTTCCCACCCCACACACACCATCCCCATTGCAATTCGTGCATACCCCACTTGCCACACTCACAGGCGCCTCATCCTGGCCAGTGCCACGCCCGGCACTGAGGGCTTCCAGACCCGGTGGAGGCTGCATGGCGAGCTGCAGGACACCAGGTGCGCCTCTGCCCTTCCGCGCCTCCATCCCTCCCTCCCCTCCCTCGCTTCCCTCCCTCCCCTCCCTCGCTTCCCTCCCTCCCCTCCCTCGCTTCCCTCCCTCCCTTCCCTCGCTTCCCTCCCTCCCCTCCCTCGCTTCCCTCCCTCCCCGCCCTAGCTTCCCTCCCTCCTCTCCCTCGCTTCCCTCCCTCCCCTCCCTCGCTTCCCTCCCTTCCCTCCCTCGCTTCCCTCCCTCCCCTCCCTCGCTTCCCTCCCTCCCCTCCCTCGCTTCCCTCCCTTCCCTCCCTCCTTCCCTTTCTCCCTCCCTTCCCTCCCTCCCCTCCCTCCCTCCCTCCCTCCCTTCCTCCCTCCCTCCCTCCCTCCCTCCCTCCCTCCCTCCCTCCCTCCCTCCCTCCCTCCCTCCCTCCCTTCCTCCCTCCCTCCCTCCCTTCCTCCCTCCCTCCCTCCCTCCCTCCCTCCCTCCCTCCCTCCCTCCCTCCCTCCCTCCCTCCCTCCCTCCCTCCCTCCCTCCCTCCCTCCCTCCCTCCCTTCCTCCCTCCCTCCCTCCCCTCTCCTCCCTCCCTCCCTCCCTCCCTCCCTCCCTCCCTCCCTCCCTCCCTCCCTCCCTCCCTCGCTCCCTCCCTCCCTCCCTCCCTCCCCCTTCCTCCTTCCCTCCCTCGCTCCCTCCCTGCCCTCCCTCCCTGCCCTCCCTCCCTACGCTGCCCACAGTTGCTGTCTGGTTAGCACTGCGCACCGATTCTGCCATCGTCCCATATAATGTCTTCTCACCACCATGATCCCTTCACCATCATCTGTTCGCCATGATCACCATCATTCGCATGGCACAGGGCAAGGACGAAGGTGCTGGAAGCCAAGATGCACGAGCAGGTGCAGGCGTCCAGACAGAAAGAAACGGCCAGCAAACCGTGGTGGCGAATAATTTAGTTACTGGTTCCAACCACGTTGTTACACTTGATAGATACACGCCCGCCGGGGCCCCGCGCTACTTTTAGGGGGGGTTCGACAACAGGGCAATGAAATAGTAGGCTCCAAGGCATAATTCAGCATCAGCTCTTATTCGTCCAGCCGAGGGCCAAGTGAGTGAGCGCTTAGAGGCAACGCAGCACACTCACTTGGCCCTCGGCTGCGCCGGACTCTAAGCGCTCATATTTGCTCGTTGCTCATTCCTACCTACCCGTCACACGCTACAGCGTCGCTCGTGCAGCCGGCACACTCTCACACGTCGCTCACTCCATGCCTTCATGTAACACCCCATTCTGCTCGCACCCCCTCCTTGCCCACGTTTTTCCCCATCGTCCTCACTTCCCAACATCGTCGTCACTTCCCCCTTTCCACCGCCCATCTCCCCACAAATACCACAGACCTTCCCCCCTGCAATCCGTCATCCTTCCCCACGCATACTACCTGCCTTCCACCCACCAATCATCCGTCTTCCCCCAAGTATCACCCGCCTCCACCCCTACATACCACATGCATTTCCATCCACATACGGTACCACCCTGCTTGCTCCCCCGACACCGCTAGAATTCCTCCAACACCCCCAGGTTCCACCCACCATTTCCCCGCCACATACACCCCTCCTTCCCCCCCACCTTCCTCCTTCCTTCCACCCAACATACTACCACCCCCCATACCCCCCACGTACAATCCACCGTTCCCACCATATCCCACCCTCCTACGAACCCCCTACTTTCCACCACTCTGCCCTCCACATACCACCAGCATCGCCCCCCATATACCCCCAGACATTCCTCCCTCCCTCCCACCACGCACCGCCCACCTTCGCTTCCACATACCGTACCACCCTCCTCCCCCCCCACATTATTCCCTTCTCCACCCCACATACCATCCACCTGCCACACCAGCCTTGTATAGGGGGTGCACACTGAAACAGGCATTACAGGGATTTCCGTTAGCCTGGGAAAGTGTAGGACAAAAACAGTCAATTACAGGCGAGAAATAGAATCTTCCCTCGCGCGGCCCTGCACAATCGCGTTGGTACAGCCAAGCTGTAATCAGCTGCAATTCCGACCAATCGGGGTTGCGCGACAGGCAGCGTTGGCAAGGTTCGTTGCCGACGCATGGCTCGCAACGCGCTGCGCCTCGCACGACACCACAAACATCCACCCCACCCCACCGCACATGTAGCTGAGCGTGCATCTGTAGAATCTCCCAACTCAGACCTGACTTAGACATGTGAGATGTTTTATACCGGTATCAATGTTCTTATGAAAATGCATGATCACCTTAAGATTTATGTTGGGAACAATAAGTCTTAAACGCCTCTGTCGTGTCGAAACTCAGGACACAAAGCGAAGAAGTCCAAATCGAAGCATCGCGAGTCAACCCTCGGAGGGTTATAGGCACGACTGAAAATCTTTCAGTCAGACGGAGGAGGAGAGTACACCTCTCAGCGCTTCAAGCAGTACCTGGCGGAAAAGGGAATCAAGCAACTCCTCTCCCTTCCCTATGCACATCAGCAGCAAGGTGTCGCAGAAAGAATGAACAAGATTCTGCAGAACAGCATGCGCAAACTGCTACATGGCATGCGGCTACCCAACCACCAGTGGCCTGCAGCAATGGACCATGCTGTCATGCTGCACAACTTGCTGTCGTCGTCGTCACTCCCGAACAACGCATCACCGCACCTGCTGTGGACAGGGAAGCAGGGCAGCACAAAAATGTTACGAATTTTCGGGTGCATGGTACAGTACCGACCCCCAGAAGCACGAGCGGGAAGATTTTCACAACGGGCATAGTGGGGACTACACCTCGGCATCGAGAAAAATTACAACGCGTGGAAAATCTTCGACGCCCACTCAAAGGAAAAAGTAGCAGCACGTGATGTGATCTTCTACGAGCGACTCACCCTTCAAACGTACCTCGCCAACCTGCACGAGAATCAAAACCCCACAGTTGGCTTTGTCAGAATATTATCTTATTGTTCTAGCCTGTAGTGGGGTGCTCTATAGCGAGTACAACCCTTCTAGGGTTTGCTATTTGTATCCTCATTCTTGCTAGTTCAACCCTCTTTCTTTCTTCTAACTTTTGTCATGCTATCAGAGCAGGTCGATCCCTTTGGATCGATCCTGTGGGTGGGTTACCACCTCGCTTCCGCTGCTACCTTTCCTTTCCCGCCGTGCGCCCCGAGGCGCGCGGCGGTTTTCTTCCCGCCGTGCGCCCCGAGGCGCGCGGCGGTTTTCTGCCCGCCGTGCGCCCCGAGGCGCGCGGCGGTTCATTGCCCGCTGTGCGCCCCGAGGCGCGCGGCGGGCTTCTCCCCTACGTCGCGGCCCCGCCCCGATCGTCGCGGCCCCGCCCCTCGACGCGGCCCCGCTCTACGTCGCGGCCCCGCCCCGGCCCGTCGCCGCCCGTGCGCCTGCCCGGCTCGGCCCCGCCCTTCGTCGCGGCCCCGCCCCGGCCCGTCGCCGCCCGTGCGCCTGCCCGGCTCGGCCCCGCCCTACCTTCGCGGCCCCGCCCTACGTCGCGGCCCCGCCCTATGTCGCGGCCCCGCCCCGACCGTCGCGGCCCCGCCCCTCGTCGCGGTCCCGGCCCCGTCCCCCCCCCCCCCCCCCTTTCTCCCGTCCCCCCCATTTCCCGTCGCCCGTCGCGGCTCCTTCGGGGGCCGCGCTGTGGGGTGGCAGGTATGGGGGTGGCCAGTGTACTTTCCTCCCTTTGCTCCTCCTCCTCCTTCGTCTCCCACTGCTGCAGCTGTCGCTGAGGGGGGTGGTTGTGTGGGAGACTGGGTTTAGGGTTTAAGGGGGGTGCGTGGGAGTGGAGCTAGCGGTGTAGCAGTGGGTGTGTATCAGGGGGGTGGGACTGTTTGCGGGAGGTTGAGCGGAGGCTGCCGGCTTGTCGTCCGCAGCACCTGTAGTCCGGGGCGCTGTCCCGGTAGCCCAGTCGTAGCCAGCTGTGCCAGCCGCCCGTGGGTCCGTTGCCCGTCCGCCGCTATTTGAGCCGCGGGGCCTGTTACTCCTGTAGTCCGGCCGCTGTCCGGTAGCCGCTGTGCCAGTCTGCCTCCTG